GAAATTTCCCAGCAGACTGGTTTCGGTCTGATCTTCGTCTCAAGTTATTTCGCCTTCACCGAAAGTAGGGTGGAGCATTTTTTTTTTTCAAACGGTGAAGCCAGAGGGGAACTAGGAGAACCCCTTTTCTCCAGCCCTGAGTGGCCAGTCTCAACTTTCCCCTTACCGTAACATGACGCCCGACAACGATATCCCAGCCATCTTTTTTTTTTGCTCGCTGTGGTGCTCCATCTCTTCATTTGGTGTTTGCTCGTGTGTGTGCGCGCGCGCCCCATAGCCCCTCATGGCTCATGCTGACCCTAAAACGAAGGGGTTCGCGATGATGAGGAGGTGAGGGTCCTTGTTCGGGAATGCTTCCATTCGTTGAGGATCCGCTCCTTCTAGACGTTCTTTTCTCTTCATCCTTGGTTTCGAACAAGAAGATCCTCTCTCCACCGCTTCTTTCGTTTGCTTCTGTTCTCCATAGTGTAACCGGGGTCCGTGGGTTTGGCAAGATTGGGAAATGCAACGTGGATTCATTTGGCAACCGAAAGCGGTGCCAGGTTTCCGTTTGGTATAGTGGGGAAAGGGGGACACTTCAGGCCTGTGAAGATTTTCACATGATTTCTTCATGATGGGATAATGACATCTTTTACATCGTGACACAGGGAGTAAAGAAAATGACCCCTCTTTTCTGCGTACGCGCTCATCTGCACGAGCATTCACCAAGCTAGAGATGTAGGAATACCTGACGCGAACCAGGGTGCTGGATGAGGGGCTGTAGGGTGAAGCAAAGACAAGCGGTCTCGCAAGTCAAGAGGTTCGGTTCCACAGAGACGGTGTCATTCATCAATCATCTCAGCCTTGGACAGCAGGGGAAGAAAAATGACGATCGGGTTGAAGGAAGCGTTGTGACTGGAAAATGCCCGAGGTGAGGTTAACCGCTTAGACAGGGGTTGTTGCAGAAGGGGGGGGGGGAGAAGATCGCCAACTCATTGTGAGTCACACTCATCGACAGAAGTTCATCAACAACGCTTCCCAACAACATTAACGGACAGATTTCATGCGACCCATGATAATGACCGGGCAGGCAAGCAAGCAAGCAAGCACACAATGGGTGACTGGCAGGACCTGACCGCCTTTGTGTAAACGTTTGCCCTTGGACCGACAACCACACAGCACCCTGGTCCGCTTGGCAGGAGCGGAGACAGTCAGCCTGTCAAGGAACTTTCGGTGTCCTCGGCACGGGAAACGGAGAACAAATGTCAACCCCCCCCCCCCCCCAAAGGATGTGGGACTCTCCGGTTCGTCAGCGCGACAGCGGAAAGCCAAGACTTTTGGAAAGTTGGGTCGCGCCGCTGCATGTGCACTTTTTTCGATGGGGAACGAACTGGGAACTTTTTGCTTTCAGGAGCTGTTGTTCTTTTCCTTCCATTTCGAGTGGGGAGAGAACGCGGATAGAACAAAACGGGGTTCGGGGGTGTGTGTACGAATGTTTACATCGTATAGGTAATTATGAAGCGAGTGAGAGTGCGAGAAAGATCACAAAGTGGATGCGGGTGTTTATCAAACAGGAATGGGGAAACCAAACAAGCAACAGACAACGTGGCCGTGGATTTCTGCAGACATGTGAGAGTGAGTCTGAGTGTGATAGTGAGGTGAGAGTCGTCGTCATGATGGGAATGTTTGTGTGTTTCCAAGGGCCACCACCGCCGTGGCACCGCCCGCCGCTCGGTATGACTGGCTCGCCGTGAGACCGGACCGAACGCGAAATCCACTCACTCACTCAGCCAGTCAGCCAGCCAACTCGCCAGCGCCGCCAGCACGTTTTTTGCGACCGCAGGCTTTCCGAGTTGGAGGATAAGGCTGCATGGGAGAGGATCACCATGCAGCGTAACCATGTGTCATCACAGACTCTCTGCTGTCGGATGGGAGTGGGAGGATATGCTGTAACTGGTTGCCGCTCAATGAGTGGGAAAGGCGCCAATCCAAGGAGACGATTGCCCAAAACGGTGACCGTAACGGAATTCGGCCGGCACGGGAGGACGGGAGTTGGTTAACGTAGACGGAACTTCCAGAACATGTACACAGCTTTCCACAGTTTCGCATCGCAAGCACGTATCTAGGTCCCGGCCGTAATGCGACTTTCTCTCTCATGCAAGTGACGCTTTCCGTGTGTTGGGATGATAGGAGCACGTCAGAACCGTTTTTTTTTTTTATCCACCTTGCTCGCAACCACCACACCACCCATCAGTATCATGTCAACATCAGGACTGTGGCTGGGAGCGTCCCTCCCGCTCCGCACCTCCATCTGTGTATGTTTCTGCTCCGTTTCTCGGGTTCCACGAGGAGTTTGCTTGAGTGTGTGGGTGGGTTGTCATCGTCAAATGTCAGCAATTTGCGACGTTGTTGCTGACGGTGGCGCGGTGACACAGCGTGGCGAGGCAGCAAGCGAGACAGGAACATGTGTCTGAGCCTCTAGATTGGGAACAAGTGTGTCAGCCTGCAGAACTGACTGAGCTGGTCTTTGTGTGACAGTCAGATAAATGCTGTGTACGTTGACACGAGGTTGTAATGTCAATAAGCTTCTGACTGTGTGTTCAAACCCGGAAACCCAAGCCTTTCCCCGAAGCCTCCGTGCTTCGCCGCGCGAAATGGGTCCGGCCCTGTCTTCACCCCAGAGTTGGGTGGGCAGACAAAGACGTAGACTAACCACGTCAATATGTTCTCCATTAGAAACCCGAGAAAGCGCACCCTCGTTTTCGTTCCGAATTTTGCTTGCTTACGGATTCCCAGGGAATCGAGGAGTGGGATGGGATGGGATGGGATGAGTGAGGCCCAACCTTTCCATTGCAGAAACGGTCGATCAATCAAACCAAACACGGACCCCGAAGCCTTTTGTCTGATGTTTTTGGGTAAGGTAGGTATGGATATGCTTGAGCGGCACAAACGTTGGGGACTTCCGCTGTGTGTGGTCTTAACAGCGTCATTGGTAAAATATGTGGTTGCACAAGGAAAGCCACACTATGGAAGTGCCACCATAGCTTGAGAAACAATCTTCAGACGGCGAAACGTTGTGTCTTCAGTTTTGCCCAGATTGTAACACCTATTCGTACACCCCGATCGGTATATTCAGGTCGTTCGGTTCCGCAGTGCAGTGCGGAACAAATAAGGAATCCAAGACCTGAGGCGCAATCTTGGTACGCTCTCCTTTGCCGACGCTTGTTTGTAGTATCCAAACTTTTGCAAGATATATGCCAGAATGTCAAGAGGAATACGCTAACGCGGACGCCATCACCATGGTCCTGGTGCTACCGCGAGCCCGGCTCTGGGTAGATAATGTGCCATGGGACCATGGGGAAGCTTTTGAGTTGTGCTTGGGCAAGCTGAGGGCAGGCACTATTAGCTAGCCGACGACAATCGCGATTATCGCGATGCGGATCCGCGACGGCGATTTCCATGGAGCTTTGAACGATCAGTGCCTCTCAAGACAAGCCACCAATTCCCGGCAAGTGGGATGGAACGAGGGGTAATGTGTCTTGTGGTGTCTTGTTCGACCACTGGCAGTTGTCAATGTCTTTGTCCTCCCCGAAGAAAATAAAAGATTAACCCTTCATTTGGGTGTGGCTTTCTTTCCGCCATGGCTTAGTATTCCTCGAGCTTGTACGCTTCAAGAAGGTGTTTCGTTGGCGCTAACCTTGGGGGAACACGGGAAGTGCCATCCCACCCAAAACTGCTCTCTACAGTCTACTCAGGAACCAACCGTTTGCTTGAACTCAAGGTTTGAAGCTTGGGGCATCGTAGTGAGGCTTGAAGGCTTGAGGCTTTCTTGTGTGGCTTTCCAGCTTTTCTGGATGGGACGGCAGGACGGGCACGTTTGTGTTACCACCCGCCCAGTTTACCGCAAGCCTTGGTGTCCTGGTCACCGCACGATGACAAGCCCCCGCGCCGCGGATCCGTAGATCTGGTAATGGGAGGCTTGCGTTAGGACGGCCGGCACACGCTTTCCACGGCTCTCCCACGCGCCGTGGGGAGAGTATGAGAAGGGATGGAGATCGCCGAATTATTGTAGGATGATTTTTCCCTAGGTCTGCTTTACGAGGCGTTCCACGTCTTCCTTCCTTTCCTTCCTTAGTTTCTTGCGGGAGGAAAACCGGGCAAAAAAGACCTACGGCCATGGCTGTGTTTAGGTATTTACGGAATACGCGGGGCTCGCTCGACATTTCGTGTTATCGGGCGATTGTGGTTTGGCTAAGCCACCACCGCCAACGACGTTCTCTGTTCCATGTTACATTTGGAGCTGCGACGGCAAGAATCAAACGGTGTTTACTGTACCCGATGACTCCCATCTCTACGGATATGGCAATAGTATGAGCTCCTTTCGGAAACATTGCGAGCAAGACCAGGGATACGGTCGACAAGGGTGCGGGACGTTTGATTGATGCCGTCAGCATCGGCATACCGTCAGCTTCCCCTCGCTACCAGTATTTTCCAGTCTTACCTACAGATACAACCTAGGTCTGGTGTTCTGCCGCGCTGCCGTACTCCGTACCCAGGTAGGCGGATACGGGGTGGGCAACGTGCAGATGTGTGAACAACGTGGTCAAGCGATGCGCCAAGATGGCGACTGAGGAGGGAATCATCGATTCATCATTGATCCAGGGCGCCTTACGCGGCATGGGGAAGCGAGCGCAGGAGTGTTGTTGCATCGAGAAGCATAGCCTGCTGCAGGCCTTCCTCGCTTCTCTTGCCCGTTTCTTCTATTCGTAGAGGTCTAGGCAGGCTGTGTGAGCTGTCTATGAAGCGCACTGCGGTACGAACAATTTCTTCTTCTCAATATCTGATGGGTGGTGTTGTCTTGGGATCGTGACCAGCTGACCTCGACTTGCATGTCTAGGCGGAAACTGGGCAACTGGGGTCTGAATGGCGCCAGCAAGGGTTGAAAGTGCTCGAGGGTGATGATGTGCACATTACGGTGCCAAGCTTGCACGTAACGTGAGACCATTGCGGGGGGAAGATCAGTCATTGATCCATGTGCTCCGTAAGAGACTAAGGTAAGCTGCCACCAACCAATGAGACTCCGACACGGTGGATCATCGAAACGGTTGTGAGCCCGGTTTGTGTGAGAAAAAAGGGCTGAATTTGTTGGTACGGTAGTAAGATTGGCATCGACATCCAATAGACCGGATTCGTGTCCTAGACAAGGTAAAGGCTGATCGCCAACAGGAAGAAGCAAGCGAGAGACAGACACAGAAGAAGGGACTCGATAAGAATAGCCACGGGAAAACCACTCCCCGGACTTGGGTCTTCAGCTCCATCCCTTGACCGAAGATATTCGGAGAGAGAGAGGAGGCGCAGAGCAATAAGCAAAGTTGGATGAAGCTGAAAGCTGTGGGCGCCAGCTGGCAACGCGAAACAGAGACATTGATCACCACTGGTCGACCGGTGAAGATAACAGGCAGAAACAGAAACAGCATATTGACAAAAAAGGAACGAAAAAGGGAAATGAGGAATGCTTGGTCTCGTTGGGGGCCAGGGGTCTAGGCCAAGCATTGGATCTAGGAACACCGTGACACGGCAGAGACCAAGAAGGAGGCTGAAGAGTGAAGACACCCACATTCATTATTGTCCAATTGCCCTGAGACATCCTTTTTTTTTTCTTTTTTTTTTTTTTGCACCATCCATCCCACGGGGACGGGAGATGGGCGCAAATGTTACCGCGCTCATGCCATGTTCTGGACCCGAGTGGTTGGGAATTCCTCACGGTTTCTTTTTCGGAGCTCAGCAAGGGGATAGGAAGTCTCACAGTCTCACACAATGATCGACGACAGGACAAACGGCACATCGAGCTTTGTGTTTGGCGTTTAGGATGTTCAAATCCTGATACGTATCTATTACTCCACGCTCCGGTCAGACTCGGTGTGCCGGTGACATGTTGGAATTGTATCTCAAAGAGCTGGAAATGACAACAATGAACCGAACCCCCCCTCCCCCCCGGGGCCTTGTCTCGTGTGGTCAGACAAGCCTTTCTTCAATATTTCGCTTCCCTGAGGCGGTCACGCATTCCTCGCGTTCGTCGTCGGACTTTTTAGGGTTCTTGTTGATTGTTGACTTGCAGTAGTGTAACCTCAAAAGATTGCCCACAATTTTCCAGGGTTCAGGCGCTAGAAGAGATAATGAGCGTGGACGGAGTTCTCACGGACAGACACGGCATGGAAGGTAAAGTAAGCATATCACGGCACGCGCATACAAGTTGCTGGTATTACGGAGTTGATGGTTAATCTCCGGGGGATATGGCCTTCCCTCAAGACGGTCTACCGTGTCTTCACTATAGAGTTCGGCATACCTTACGGTAAAACATTGCATGCAGAGCTGTCCGTGAGATGTGCGATTGGATGAACGAGAGATTCGGAGAGTCAGGGAGGAAGTTTGACGGCCGGCTCACGGCTCGTGATGTGAGTCGTGACGCAGCCCATGGTTCGCGGGCTCTTTGCTCGGTCAGGAAAAAGAAGCTTTCCCTAGGGATTGGTAGAGTAGGAAGGTAGTGCTTGTAGCAGGAGCGGTAAGGCAGAACTCTCGTTGCGGATGGAACGGTAGACTTGGCTTTTTTCTCTACCCTCATTTTGGGTTTTTTTTGCTTCGGCAGGGATAGCCTCATTGGGGACCATCAAGACGGGGACGCGCGCGGGCGGCGGCGCAAGTAACAGACAGCTCGGGGCCCGGGCAGGTAATCCATTCAGGGTTTGCTTTGGGGATTGTGAAATAGAGCGCGTGACGGAAGTTCCACTAGGATGGATGACCCCAGATGTTGCGGCTCATAATACAGTTCATACTCAAAAAAATCCTACGGATCATTTGGCTGGCATTCGCGTAAGACACCGAACCGAACTCAAAAGTCCGGAGTCTGGAGTCTGGAGAAGGAGATGGAAATTTTAGGGGTGCCCTCTCCTCGCCTGGCACATGACAGACAAGGCTGAACATGAGATTAAGCATACCGGGGGTGGTAATGTGAGTTGGTTAGTCATGGCCAAGGTTTTTCTTTGGTAGTGTAAACGGAGTAACTGGATAGAGAAAGCCGGTCATCGGGGAATGAGAGTAAGTAAGAAAAAAGTTTGCACAAAATTGAAGTTGCATTCGGCATCGTGACCGCCTCTCTTTTCTACCATCTCTCATAGGCTCATTTCCCAGCCCAACCGAATCTCACAACAACACAATCCCCTGACTGGCTGGAGGCGGTGGGCTGACCTGGGAGCCCGGGATGAAAATGGGGAATATGGGAAATTACAGAAGCGGTCGAACTTTTTCCACAATCGTTCCATGAAAGCTTCCATGCATGAGCAGCGGCCCCTTGGAGGCTGGGGGGGGGGGGACTCTGACGAGATCCAATCTCGCTCTTCTTTTCCCATGTTGAGTGTGAACGGAAAGCGGGTCGGCAGAGCAAACGGCAGAATAAGAGAAGGACCAGGTTTAATTATTACCGTAAAGCAGGGCCAATTCGGCTCGTTCGCTTCATTGTTACCGATTTTTTGATGGGAAATTTCCTCTCTCCCTTGCCTTGGTTCAGCCCGCCCGTCCCCCCTTACCCCTGGGCCCTACCGTCTTCGACTTCCTTGAAGTGAGAGTGTCCATTTTCCCCTTGGCCCATGCCACGCATGCCCTTGTCCTGCTGCAAGATGGTCGATTTCGAATGGAGATGGGAGGAGGGTTTCGTTGCGCCCCGCTGGACCCCTTGAAGCGCTGATGACAGGCAGCTTTTTCTAATTTGATGATGAATTTTTTTTGCCAATTGGGGAGGAGGCCAATCATTCATCCCCTTGCTCTCTGCCTTGATCGTAGGTAAATCTGTTACCTGTTACTACGTGTCAGCTGTTGTCCGCATTCAGCCTTTTTGGTCATGATTACGGCACTTCATCGTAATACGGAGTACGGATACTGGGGGGGGGGGACTTGGGTTGGGGTTTATTCTTATTCCAGGCAGACGCTATTACAAGGTGAGGTAAGCTCGGAGAGCTCATCGGGGCGCAGCAGGACGCCTACGTCGGAGTAGTTAGGTGAGATCAGGCAATGCGATGACAATTGCTGCTCAGTGCTGCGGATTTCGGAATGAAAGGCGACGGTCAAGGACTGCGGCAGCAATAGGCTACGTCTATTTTGTCTGCATGTTGCTGTCGCAGGAGCAGAAAGCTGAGAAGACAGGAAGAAGAAACACCCCCTGAAGAATTTTATTTTAGATGCACCTGAAGCAACGTTGACGGAGCCTCTCGCCCCGCTATCTGCAGCAGCACATGCACACATGCAAGTGAAATGTAATGACTTTTGTTGCTCTTCTATTGCTTCTTCTGCTTCTTTAGAGGCATGTACTCTGCTGCGTACAGCAAGGTAGAGTTGCAGTTGCAGGTTTGTGTGGGCTTGCGCTACGTGTACGTTGGACTCTGCAGAAGAACAACGCCAATGATGTAGGTGCAATGTGTAATCGTGTTTGCGCGCCCAGAAAATAAGATTACTGCGCAGAAAAGGACGAAAAAGGGCCGCGCAGTTATATCCGTAGTATCCGCAGTAAGAAAGTCGTAATAGTAACGGACGTACGACTGTACGCGGCAGATGGTCTACGGGCGTTTGGTGAGACTTTTTCTACGAGCGAACAATTTGGTGTTCTACGGAAGCTGAGCCGCGCCGGCCGCTTGTTGGGCGGCGCCTTGTCCGCGCAATGCTGCCTTGAAAGTTGTCAAGTTTGGTTGAAAGGACAAGACTCACAAGAGCAAAAAGAGAGTTTTTGTCCATGGTGAACCGGGGAACTCCTCCCAGCTTGGGAACAAAGAGCCGCTCGGAGAAGGGGGGACTCGGGAGTTGAGACGAGACATCATTGCTCACTTGCAGAAGTGGACAGTTTGAACAGGCCACCCAGGTTTGAGGTTTTCTGTAGACACCGTGACATGATGCGATGCGTCAGGGAGAAGAGGTCTAAGAGGGACTTGAGAGTTCTGTATTCGTACTCTCTTCTCGCTGTCGTCAACTCAAGATTACGCACGTCGCAACTTTATATTGACTCTGCAACTGGTTGATTGGGTGTCGTCTGAAGATGGACGGCACGAGATGGGAGCTTTGGCAAATTTGGTAGTCCAAGTGTATGTGTGTGCCATTCTGTGTGCGACGAAGACGTGTGTGTGGTGTTGCGTGGTCACTGGTTTGGTGTCAATTAGGTGGTGTTTGAGCGGTGAGCTTTGCAATTTCCCTGACGGTTTGAGATTGAACCGTAACAGGAAGAGCAGGACAAGGGTTGGATTGGAGGAGACGGAGCTGCCGAACGCTGTCTCCTTTTTTCTGAAGGGCTCCCCTTTTTCAGCGCTGGGTACGGAGTATGGATACGGATACCTTCGTCTGGGTGAGGTGAGTTCGCCAGAGAGTGAGTGTGGGAGGAGGAGTGAGAGGGAGAGGGCACAGGTGTCCTGTTGGCTGGTGGGCTAATCCCTCCGCCTCCGTCTCCGCTCCGTTGCGTGCCTGACTGACGGTTAGTGTATGGGGAAAACTGAGAGTGGATGGAGACGGTGAAAAGGCTGGTGTGACAGGGGCAGGAACACGTTCAGGGCAGGGCAGTCCCCTGTACGCGTGCTTGTTTCATTTCCTCGCGTTGCGGCGGTCAAGCCCCACGGTGACTCTGGCGATGCGTCACCGCCAAAAAGAGGGAGACCTTTTTCCAGGGCAGCGGGCAGTCATGGGGGCCGCCCGTCACCTCAGCAAGATGAGACGAGACGGCGGCCCACCGTTGGGGGTGATTGACGGGATTGACATTTCTGGAGAAACGGTTGCTTCGGCTAGACGCAGATCTCCACTTGACGGTGGGTGGATCGGTACGTACAATCTCAAGGTCTGCATCCCACCGTTTTACGGCTCTGAGGTACCGTATGGAAGTACCGTGCCGTGGTGTACCTGATGGCGTAGACGGAATGCCGCGTCCACGTCCACACCACAACACCAAGACCAGACGGAGGGGACGCCCAGGGCAAAGCTTTAATTTTGGCACTGGCAGTGTCAGGTACAAGGGGTCAAAGTACTGACGTACTCTCTCTCTCTCTCTCTCCCGTCCCAGGCAAAATTCCTTTCTTCACCTTCACTTTACCGCCACCCCATCACCGCCCATCCCACACCCTGCCGATTTACCCCTGGACAGCTCGCAACACACGCAAACTCGCCCTTCACCCTCATCTCACACTCCCACAATGGTCATCACACGCCCTACTTTTACCCTCTCTTACGGTTTACCTACGCAGTATACGGTAAGTAGGCACTCTTCCACACACCCTTCACACCCATCTCCCCTGGCACCACACCCCTCCCGAGCAAGAAGACACACCAGTGCCCGATCCAAGGTCAAGCTGGGCTAATACCCTTGCAAGGTTTCTGGCTGTTCCAAAATTGCAGAGTCTCGGACAGCGAGCTCTGCAAACAGGCACCGCCAGCCAAAATCTCCTTCCCATGGCCGCATTCGTAGATACATAAGGCACCCGACTCCCCCCCTAGTATCAATGGACTATCATTCTCGACCAGATCACAACCATCATCGACAAGACCAGATTCAGACGAAACTCTTCAAACTTACGACCGTTTGGTTACATACTATTCTCACATACTCTATCCACCACACCAAAGAGCCTTTGTCCTCAATCCTCAACGGCTCAACAACCTGCAACACCAACCGTCTACCACATACAAAACTACCCAAGGCTACATCTACGCAGCCTTCCCTCGACCCAAATCAACAACTTCACATCAGCTCATATGGCTTGCTCCGCAAACGACTTCATCACCATGCCTGCTCAGCGCCCCTCGCAACTTCCTCCCTGCCCTGGCCCGCCGCCTCAACGCCCTCTTCCTCCTCTGCCCACCCGCGGTTAAGAGTGGCTGGCGGCTAGCCTCGCGCAATACACCAACTCGAGAGCTTTCTAGAGCCATGAGTTTAGAAACAAACCACCACTACCACAATGAATGGAGCTGCCCTTCGGTTCCCTTCGCAGTCGAAAATCAACACCATGGATGAACGGGCGCCTACAACCCATTGACCAGTTCCCGGGAAACTACCAACTGCGAACGAAATCCGATCCACACCCTTCAGCAACAACACCGCATCCATTCAGTCGGCCTGTATTTGGCAGCCCGCAGGATTTACCACGCATTCCATTATGCACGCCATACACGCCTCCATGTGTTGGCCATGCATGCGTCTCACCCACACCACCCACACCACTCGACCGAGGGACACTCACCTCTGTGACCACTGGGCTAATGCAACTGCCCCTCAATCTCTCAAGACCGGGCAAACGCATCTGCGTCACGACAAACCGCGGGGTCATCAGTTGCTCCGAGGTGGTCTCGAGATTGGGCCTTCTTCTCCCACCCTCACCTTCTTCACCTTCTCTTCGTGCCGGCCCGCGTTCCCAAGAGCTGGGCTCTGCACGCAACTACCAGCAACCACGCAACAACCCACTCTACTTCGTCATCGACTGCTACACCCCCTACGCAGTATTCACCGACATACCACCTTGTAACAATACCAACCTATCCCTCGTTCACTCTACACCATTTTCACCGAAAGTGGATTATTCAACCAAGCCAACGGAAACCACCATCTTTAATCCATGACCTACAACGGAACGAGCAAAGCATCATTACGGGACCAGGAACAAACCTCAACGTCATCATTCAATCACGCATTTTCCACCAACCTCATCAACACAAACATGTATCATTAGAAAGGAGCATTTGTCAGGGAGACACATACAAGTCTACTCTTTTTGTTGTTTTCTTTCCCACTTTGTCGTCGCCGATACCCCCCTTCCCTTTCTCAGAGAGATGGATGGATTCGACGTCAAGTACGAGCGTTTTCTAGGAACCAGATTTAGTCAACTGGGATACATCAAAAGTTGGAGAGAAGGACTTCACATTTTTCATTCGCACTGGAGCAAGAGGGGTCAATCTCAGCATTGGACCACCCAATTCTAGATGAGAGTTATAATACACACATAATTCATCAAAACGTACTTGATCCTCAGTTCGCTGCATAAACGTGATTCGAGTTTCGCATCGTGACCAAGGTCCAGAATCTCGAGGCCGCCTTACCTCGGTGAACCACGCTTTAACCGCGCAGCTACTTCCTGAGCTCGCTACCGCCGCGCAAACCATGGCAGAAACAGAGGATCTTACTATGAACCCCCCGTTCTTTAACCTCCCCCGCCCATTGTGAGACTGAGACGGGCATGGGCACATGGCACGATGGGCGGGAAACACATCCCACTCAACGCACGACATCCCGTCCCATTCTCCATTCCCCCGCCCGCTTGTCCGTCCGCCGTCACCAAAAGGCCGCGACAGACAGGCGGCGCGGGGTCGTTGGGAAAAAGGTGAGCCGATCTCTACGTTGACCGAGAAAAGCATCGCCCCTCCCCAGTCTATCCGTCCCTCCCGACGACTACTCAAGCCAGGGGTGGTGATAATGTATTGGGGGCTGGGGGGCTGGGCGAAAGTTGGACGAGGTTACGGACTGCCTGCGTTGGCGAGTGGAATGAGAAGAATGCTACTCTGCGGCGGCCACCTTTCTGCAGACCGAGCCATGGTAATTAAACCTCAGCCTACTTTGTTTCTCCTGCTGCATGGCTGCGATACTACATACAACAACTGCGGAAACCAACCTTGCCGCAAACGACCCCCTCCCCATCAACCCCCCATGTGCCATGCATAACCGACCCGACCCGATCAGCAGACCAAAATACTCAAATACCATGCGCAGTCCCGCAGAAGAGGGCAAGGCGAAGACAACGCCAGGCAGGCTGGCAGCCACCGCAGGCAACAACACACAATGATGTTAATTAGAGAAAGTATAGCTGAATACGGGGTGCCAGCGGCCGTCTTTTGCGACCCAATGTTTCCTTGCTGTCCATGTACGGATACTTTAGATAATTCCCAGAGATGGTGGGAAATGGACTAAAACCGCTCAATTGTTGCAGAATATACTGACACGTCGACTTTTTTGAGGAAACCGGGGTGCTATCGTTGTGTTAGTGGTTTCCACACCACCACCACCACCACGAAACCATCAACACTATGATCACCAAGGCAGAACAGTCTTTCTCTGCCTTCTTGACGATCTTTACCTCAACGTCCCGCTAGATAACATGTTGTCCATGCGGAGGATATTGATAAGCGTCGTCACACCCGTCCCAATTGTTTTTGCAGAGCGGGTTTCGTTCTAGGTGATACACACCGAACGAGGGGGGTTTGATGTAGTGCTTGACCGAAAAGGGAGGGGCGGCGAACGGAGGCGGCGGCGGGCGAAACGCACCGAGATCATCTGAGATCTTTCCGCCTTGCGGCAGAGATGACCCTGTCCTACGGATACATTCTAACTCCGTGGTGTATGGCTTGCCTTGACTGACGTGATGTGTTATGTTACGGTAGAGTGGCAGAGTGGCAGAGTGGCAGATGGAGGACAAGGGGGCATGAATGTTAGCCGGGGTTTGGAAGGGAAAAGATGTGCGGCTAGGGCGCGGGTGTTTTTGGCAAAAACATCACATCAATGATCCAAAGTTGGTCACATCTCTCTCTCTATCGTCAAGGGAATATTGCTACACTACCACCACTGGGGGACCTTGCCTGCCCGGAATGAGACGGACTGGCTGCAGAGCTGAGCTGATAATGTTGTACATAGGCCCTGCTTATCAATTTGGAAATGTACGCAGTATTATGATTTTTTGGTGATTTTCGCCCCCAGGTTTCTTTACTGCGTATCTAGCCCCCATCCCACCCGAACCACCTACCCCGTTCATGTTGCCAAACTGCTCATCTCGCCTAAGTCGAGATGCAGGACAAATACATGCCTTAGGGCGGGCGATGCAGGCGGCGGCGAAGGGGAGGGGGCACGAGAAAAGGGTTTGGCGGTAGCCTCGGGACGTGCCATTGCATTTTTTTGCGAGGGAGAGGTGGAAGGGGGGAGTTACCCGCGATGCGCGGCTTCCTTGATTTATTGAAACCTTGCAAAGGGAACTGCATATGAGGCCATTGTGAGCTGGACATTGAGGTTGACGAGGTTTGGTCGTGCAGTTCGTGGTGGTAATTGCCTTTCATGCGTGCTCATATTGGTTGGACGTGCGTTTTCCCGGTGGGTACGTCCATTACCTCAGCTGAAGTATGAAGTACGGAGTACGTACCTAAGGTAGCCCGAAACCATCATATTGGACGCGACAGACCAGAGAGGCCTCAATTGGGGGGCGGGGCCGAGATTGTCATCCAGAGGTCCGAACTCCGTATCCGCAGATGGTTGTTAGCCTCTTTGCGTGTACTTATCGTCTGTGAATATCTATCTGCCGTACAGGCTTTTCAGGAAGGGTGGATCTTGATGCCGCGGCCCGCGAGAGAGTTTAGGCCATCCAACCCTTTTGCCCTTGACGAACTCCCCTTTGACGGTACGGTTTGGCATAATGTACAGTTGGAATGGTAAATGAGGAAAATGAGGCTCAGCCTCAGCCCGTCCGTGGACGGACGGGAAGGGCAGCGAAAAAAGGGTGTGAATGTACGGGATGTGGAATGTTGGACCCCTAATTCCCAAGTTTGAGGGCAAAAAAGAGCCCAGGGGGTGGGGACTCTACTATAGTATCAGTTCGTACTCTGTCAAGTCTGTGAAGAAGTCAAGGGGGGAAAATGAAGAAGAAAATAAACACAGACGTCGTTGACGGTTTGACGGGCTCGACGGTCCAAGGCGCCGTCGCTCTAGGGCCTCCCTTATTTAATTACGTCGCACCGGTGACGGGAGGCTAAAGGGAAGGCTAGCACGATGGTGTAATTAGATATTCTGCCCTTTCCGTGATTTTTTGAGGGCAATACGGAAAGGAGGGAGAAAATTGCAGAGATACTTGGCCCCCGAAGACAAGCTTGGCTAGTATCCGGGGGTTTGACACCAGTGGATGAGTATACGATGGACAGCATTCATGCTAGCGGAGATGGCGCCGGGGAGTCGGGATTGTGGGATAGACTGTTACAATGTTCCCAATACAGCGGCGGCGGCGCGAGAGACGGCGCCAGGAAAACGGAGCCGCCGTGGGCGGTGTTCCGTGGACGTGGAACGACCGATGTGGGCTTCTCTACGGGTTCAACCCTCAAATTGATGGGAAGAGAGGCGTGTCGCGATGAATGAGGGGAATTCGTTCTCCCCTATTATTATCCCCCTTTATTGCCGTATAGTACGATTTCGTATAATCCTCCGCGATCTAAAGAAGAATCTAAATTAATCCAGGTACGACGACGATTCGTCACCGATGGGCGGGGACGGGTGGTTTAAGCTATAGAATCATGGAATGGGTAAGGGTAAGGAATGCCCTCGTAATTGAGGGTAGAGATGCTCTTCTTCGTGGTCTATATCGAGCTCTGGTGAGGTCCGAGGATTACGTTGACAGGGAGTCGGGGTGCGGCATGTCACGTCAGATAGAAAAGGACGGGACGGAGGACACCTCCCTCCAAGCCTTTCATCAAAGTGACACCTGCGCACCTTTACCCCATGAAATGCGGTATCACAATCTTCTTAGCTGTCGTGGGTTTATTATGGAATTTTCTGTGACGAAGATCGATGAACCCTGAAGCCCGCTGCTGATCACTTGCGTTCCCATTTCCAAGTTCCCCCCACTTGACGAACTGGAGGAATGTTTGAATTTGTGTGAAACAGGAGAGGGAGGCTTTGGTCTATCGTTCTTCAAAGCACCGTGACGCCGTCGCTGTTCATGCCTGTCAATCTTGCCAATCTGTTTCCAGTCTCGAGAAAATTGGCTGGTTCACGTCGGAACGTTTCTGGGGCGTCTGGAATTCAGACGGTTTAGATTAATACTCGGTGCTAGCACGCCGTGGTTGTGGTGCCTGCAGTAGGTTACGGTTACAACTTACGGTTTACGGGTTCGGTGTCGCGTACCTGCCTTAGTGGTGGCGAAATTCCCTGCAGTCGTCGTCGGCTTTGGTCATCTCGGAAGATGGTCACGAGATTGGATCAAGAAGGTCGAACGTTTGGATGTCACGATGTATCTTGTATCTAATGTAATCCCCTCCCTTCCTTTGCCTTTCTTTGATCCCTTTGGTCCATTTGAAGGCACGTGGAGGGTAGACTTGGTAATGGCCCAGGGGACTTGCATTGGTGATCCGGACCCGCCGGGAATGCAGGCGCAGAAGCTTAGAGAAGGTGCTTATCGCCAAGACGTCACCGCCTCTTGTTCTTGCCTGTGTATCACTGGTGGACGTTGTGACGGCGGGAGAAAAACTTGGTGATTTTTGCGGCGGCGTGTTTTGGAGTTTCTCGAACGGTGAACCGGATCGTCAGGGGGGAAGGGGGGGTTCGTCGATTCCGTCCCAATTAGGACATGGAGCCCCGTTTGGGGGAGATGTGGGGCGAAGCGTGGCAAAACGTGGGAGATCTGGTCCCACTTTTGTTCAGCTGCCTCAGTCCCTTCTTCTCTGATTATGTAAGGCAAGAGAGTAAGCGGCACTCCTCAGTATGTATGCTCCCGCCACGTGATCCCGCGCCGAAGTCGTAACGACCGTTCAGGCCAAGCTCAGACGGATCTTCGCGCCGCTGAAGCGATGAAAGGAATGCAGGGGTCCCTAATTTTCCTCAGAACGACACATCAGTGACATCGCACTGCACATCATCAGAAACGGTTGTCTCTTACAGCTCATTGCTGCCTTACGGGATCTTCAGGGTATCCTTCATACAACAGTGCGTTGAAACGGGCTTGACTCATCGGCCACCCAACTTTTCGTCATCCTTTGGGATCACGTCCCTTGCGCTAGAGAACTCGGACAATCAGGGTCTCTGGAGTCTACGGCGGGGACAGAGCGAGTGAAGGCAGACAGCGTGAACCGGATACTTGGATACGCACGCCGGTCACCGCAGTACGTGAGGTGTACTCGTCACCGGGCCTTCACACCACAACGTACGACACAACACCAACACCACGACCATGGACGACGTCCTCGAGCTCCACGTCTGGGGCGCTGCATTTGGCCTCCCCTCCATCGACGCCGAGTGTCTGGCCGCCATCGCCTACCTGCACACCGCCCTCCCAAGCTCACAATGGCGTCTGGTCCCGAGCAATGACCCTGCCGTCCACTCATCAAGTAAGTATACCTGTTCACTTATTCACACTTACACCGGCCGGCCGTGTTTACACTGCACACCCCCTTTCCACCGTTCGAGGTTTCCGCCGTTGGAACAAATTTCCCACGCGGCCTCGTCCCATCATGACGACTCACAACAAAGAAAGCCTCACAAAGACTCACCCAAACGCACAAAGAAACTCGCCCAAAATACATACACACAATGGGTCCTGCCCCTTTTACCCTCAGCCTCGCTAACGTCTGCTAGACCGCCTACCGGCCCTTAAGGCCAACGGCGTCTGGGTAACGGGCTACGCCTCCATCGCGGCCCACCTCGCCTCCCTCGCGTCGCACTCCCCCTCCTGGGACCTGGACCTCGACTCGCGCCTCACCCCGTCCCAGCGCGCAGACGCCCTCGCCTACGGCGCCTACATCGAGTCCGCCCTCGCGCCCCTGCTCGACGCCGCCCTCTACGGCACCCACGAGAACTGGGTCGCCGTTACCCGCCCCGCCCTGAGCC